ACAAGTGAAAAGAATTGATCTGAACTCTCGCTCCATCACTCTCTCACACTCTCTCTGCCCTGTGTTATTGTCTCGTTGTCCATTGCTAGACATTTGAGAGACATTTGTCACTGTTATCTTGTTTTTAAACCTCCTACGTCCTCCTCTCTTGCTCTTCTTCTCTCTTCTTCTAATTGAATCCACAGGAGTGAATTCCAGTGGGCAGGGGAGGGAGGAGGTGATGTCGGAGGTCAGAGGTTAGGTTACGACCTCTGCCCTGTGAGTAGAACCCTACTGTGCGGCGTTTCTGGATGTGTGCGTGCGCATTAAACCGAATCAAGAGAGAGTCATAGTTGTTATGTATTATGCATAACTAAACATTCCGGTGCAGTCACTCTGGTTATCTTTAGACAAGGTAGCTGCTAAGCCTTTATGTTAATTGTTGAATATAATGTGCTTTACTTCATTTGACAGTTATTGTGTGTTGTCTTTACTGTTATAGTAAGTATTCCTTTAAATAAATAACAGCCGTTCAAATACATTACTTTTAAGAAGGTAGTTGTATTAATGCCAGATAGTGGGAATCATTTTTGAAAGCACAGTATCCCTAAGAATAAAACTGCAGCTTTACTAAAACTTTACTGACTGACAGGAAAACTCTCTTCACAAATCCCAAACTCTCTCTGTAAATCCGAAAGGCTCTGTGTAAGCACAAAAACACACAAATGCACTCTCTCACACATATACACACACACTCACAAACACACACACACACACACACACACACACACACACACACACACACACACACACAGCGGATGGAGCAGGGGGTACATTGTGTAAGACAGAAGGCGGTGATAAGGGGGGTGAAGAAAGGGGAGGAAAAGAGGAGCAGATGTTCATCAGCTCTACAGACCCCTCCTCCCCTCTCCTTAATATTTCAATAGCAATAGTAGCCTCTCATCTGAAGAAGCCTGTGGCTGTATAGGAATGACTTCACTTAATCATGAGAGATTCAATAGGCTGAGTGTTTGTTTGCGTGTGTGTGTGTGTGTGTGTGTGTGTGTGTGTGTGTGTGTGTGTGTGTGTGTGTGTGTGTGTGTGTGTGTGTGTGTGTGTGTGTGTGTGTGTGTGTGTGTGTGTGTGTGTGTGTGTGTGTGTGTGTTACTTTGTCTGTCTTTGTTGTCTTACTGAGAACAAGACACAGATAGACACACACAACACACAATGTTACATTAAAATTGGTTCACTCTGTTGGTTGTACTGATTCTCTCTCTCTCTCACACACACATTCCCACACACGTATGCTCACACGCACACACTGTTCGGATTATGGTTTAGCTAGCTTCCCTTTCCTTAGCTAGCCCTCCTAGCATGCCTATCCGTTTCTTATAGCTCCAAACTCCAATCTCTCCCTGTTAATGGAAACACGCTGCAGTGTTTGTATGTTATGTGTGCTGTCACATATCTCACAAAACACGTGTTACTTTATGGTTTCATCCTTTTTCTTCAAAAACATCTTAGGTGTACAACAGAGGCATCCTGCCTGCAGTAAATCATCTTAGGGCCTCCCCATGGAGCAATGTCACCACTGTGAATCTCTTCTAATATCAAACAGATGTTGATTCTGCAAATGTTTTCCTAATGACTAGGCTAATTATTTCACTGCAGGAAGATTATGTGACAAAGAAGGGAATGCGTCCCATGACACATGTTTGTGCATCTGGCTGAGTAATCCCAAATCTGTAACTTTTTTCCAGTTTTATAGAAACCTAATGCCTTCCCCTCATTTCCCCTGTTTCTTCTTAATAGCCCCCAATACTGTTCCTTCATCCGTCTCCTCACCCCCTTCTCTTCCCTCCTAACAAGCCCTTCTATCCCACCAATTCACTACCTTCTGTTATTTCCAGTGTGTGTGTGTGTGTGTGTGTGCGTGCGTGCGTGCGTGCGTGCGTGCGTGCGTGTGTGCGTGTGTGTGTGTGTGTGTGTGTGTGTGTGTGTGTGTGTGTGTGTGTGTGTGTGTGTGTGTGTGTGTGTGTGTGTGTGTGTGTGTGTGTGTGTGTGTGTGTGTGAGTGTAAGGGGGTAGAGTTGCAGAGAGCAGGCCATTAGTTTGTTAGTTGGTTCTGCAGCTCATTGAGCTCATTGTGCTCCAAAGACCCTCTAGCCCAGCTGGACTCAACAAGTAGCAAGAACTCTCTTTCAAATCTCTCTCCTCCTTTTCCTACCTCTTCCCCTCCCCCTTTCCTTCAGAAACTTCCCCTTCTCTTATTACTCCCAGTAATCCCTTACTCACCCAAAAAGGGATTTGTCTATAGTAGTAAACTCTGCTTGCCAGCCAAAAAGATTGTTTATAGATAAAACTTGTTTACTTAAGCAAATCAACAGAAAGGCCTTACCTCAAGGCACTCGTGTTGCTAATGGCTTGTTGTTCACAGTGGTGGTCTTCATCTCAGGCTAAAAAACAAACACACAAAGCCAACCTCTTAAGACAATTAACTAATTAGGACAATGTCTTATGTCTGGGTTAGAATCCAAAGGTCAGCTGCAATATAATTAGGCCTTGTTCACATTTGGCGTTAATTCCACCATGGGTGAAAGCAAGAAGCTTTCAGTTTTTTTACAGGATTGAACAAAGCTAAAATGCATACTGGATTCCTGGTAATGTGTCCACATACAGTAAGTGGTGTGTCATCATGGTGGCATAGGGGTTAAGATAGTGTTCCCAATTCGATTTCCGGCCAGACACCTTTGCTGTCAGTCACTCCTCCCCATCCCTACCCTTTTTATTGTTTTGCATTGATCTTTTGGCGTGCTTAAAAAACTAAACGCACAACAGACTTAGCCACTGCAATGATCCAATGTGTAGTCTCTCTATTTGGAAGTGGTAAGTTACTAAATGATTCAATAAAATGTGAATGTGAAATATGAGAACAAAAGGTCACTTAAATGTAATTGAAAATGTATTGAGGATGCATTCTGATGCCAGATGAGAACTGCAGTCCATCTCAATCGGATGACCTGATGTATCTGAAGAATACAGCATCCAAGCTTCCTGTTTGAGGAACTAATGTTAGAGGCAGACACAAGATATGAATCCCCATTTTCTTTACTAAAATAGATTTGTGGTTATTTCATCAGTAGAGTGACAGGACAGAAAAGAGCGATGACGTGGATTGAAGATCCTCTGCAAAATTCAAACCTAGGATGTTATGTTTACATGGCACTGGACAGCTGGACACCAAGATACCTCTTAAGTCCCCTTTGACCGCAGATATGTGAGGAAAGACACACATTTAGCTTCATATACAAATCACACAAGTCCAAACACGTCAGTTTGAGAAAAGCTTCAGGCTGCGGACCGATAATGATAACGTTACATCTAGGAGGGAGGAGGATGGGATTTTGAGAGCCTCTGTCAAACACACAAAAGCATGTATACACACAAACACAAACACTTAATGGTGACCACTTGGCTGGACCAAAACAAAGCTTCGGCAGGCTTCGTTCTCAGCTGTACTCATCTTTCAAGGGGTTTAGAGCTAGTTTCAAAAACGTTCACACTTGTTTCTCGGAGTGGAAGCCCAGCTATTTTTTACTTTAATTTATAGGTTTCACCTTCTTGATTAATTTCTGACATTCTTCTTTTCTTTTTTAAATACTTTGTCAGACAACTATCCTGTGAGAATATTGCTAACCTCTTTTCAAAAAAGTGAACAATGTCATCTCTAATTGAAGATGGAGCTTTTAATTTAACCATATGTTCTTACATTCTCAGTTTAAGAACTGCCCTAGTGGTAATAAAACCCCCTTATCCTGCAACTGGTAACACTGAACTGCTCAGGAAAAACTAAAAGCTATTTTTCTCCGCTTTAGTTGGAGCCAATTGTTTGCAAACTTGTCAGGCTACTGGGCATGCTGTTGCAATCCTCTTTACAACCCCTAAGGTGGGACAACTTCACTCCTGGCAGACCTGTGGATATGTGTGTCTACTTGAAACTCTGTCTTTGGACCAAATGTCTTACCAGTTATAGGCTAGGAGTTTGAGACGCCTATTGTCAATGCTCACTTTGCCATTTTTTCAGGCTATAGGCATTGGACCCGTCATACATTGGGTTGTGATCAGTCTTAGGTTTAGGTTTAGGGAAAGATAACTTTACTTTTTTGGTTTTTGCAAAAAAAAAGAGGAACAAACCTGCGTGTCATAGTAGGACTGTCAGATAGTCTCATCACTCTGCAGTGGTATTTTTCACACATCTACCTTGGAAATCAAAGACTTCACTCCTCCTTGTCTGTCTCATATGGCTAGTCTGTCTCCATACTGGTATACCCTTGTCTAAAGGTCCTCCTGTTTTTGGACTGTGTTCCCTTTTTTGCCAATTGGTTGCCCTTTTCATGCTTTTGTTTGTCTGCCTTTCATTTGTAATAATCTATATTTAGTTGGTTTACAACATTGACATTTCACAAAAAACATATCTTCACATAAAATAATTTCTAAAAAAGCTTAGGTAACTGAAGGGGGGGTTTTATCAGCATCAGACCATAAGGAGTCAGGAAAATGGCTAAAAGCTAACATTGCATTAGGCTTATCGTTTTAATATCAAGACTACATTAGACTATACCGCGCTGGTAGTTTCAGTGACATGGTCTGTGAAACATGACTGGGTTGCAAAATGTACTTCATATATTTAGGTTTTTGGGGCAAACTACGTTCATTCGTGTATTCAGGCTCTATGCATTCATACAGTCTTTTAACCATAATGGTGTTAGACGTGTCCGGAGAAAGTTAGCTACAGTAAACAAAATAAGGATAACTATAAGTAGGTTCTATTTCCACCTACAGTGTCTTGAAACGAACTTTAAAGTGTAAGGAAAGTGTAGGAGAATGACTCCAAAAGATAGAGAGAAACCAGGATCCCCTTTATATTGAAATAATAAAAAATAGGATAAATACAACTAGGCCGACTGCCGGGTCTGGTAAAAATAACTTTCGGCTGACTCACAGAGGCGAGGGAGGGGCTAACAGCGGTGTTTTAAATCCACACGTGGTCTGGGTCTTGGGCTTGTTTAGCACAGCATACACAACTAGAAACTTCTGACGAACTCATGCAAGCGAGTTGCCCAAGTCTATCACTGTGGGGGCAGACGGGAACGGACGAAACTTTTGATAACTCAGCAAAATGCCCTCTTTCCTCCTCAACGAGTTCGCCGACTTGGAAGACATGATGGGCAAGGTAAACGGAAAGCGTAGAGAAAGTTGAGCGGAGCAAAAGTTTGCTTGGTCATGAGGGAGGGAGGGAGGAGTTCAACTTTAGCTAGCTAGCTACACTGCTAACGCTGCTACGTTTTTGCTCTACGTGCTTTAGTACTTTGTGTTTAGCAGATACTGTTGTCCTTTTATTAGCCGTGATTTTCTTCTGTTTACTTGTGGCCATTTCAAGCTCTTTTTTTATAATAATCTTCTCTCAAAATTAGCCTTAACTGAAAAATAACTTGTAGGGAGAGTTGTGGGAGCGTTGTTGAATATAGTGCTACAAGGGCCCATTTAAATAGTCTTGAGAAACAGTGATTGAGATTTAAGATTTCAACACGGTAACTTTACTGGTTATGGAGAGGTTACTACGGTTGCTACTAACGGGCCGTGAACGCCAACAATTCGAATCAAAACAGCACCGTAAACTTAACTAGAGAACTTGCGCCAAACAACAAAAAGTCGACAGTTAAAGTTGCCAAGCTGCGTTTATAGCATGGAAACATGTGTAGTTCACTGGATGCAAGTAAGTTAAAGTCACGTAGGAACATGTTGTTAGTTAAATACAAATATTTTCTTCAGAAATAGGCAGTGTTGTAAAATAACAAAGTAGAATGGCAAAAGTAGTATACCGAAGTAGAATTTTGAGGGACTTGTACTTTACTTGAGTATTTCCATTTCCTGCTACTGTTCTTCTACTCCACAACAATTCCGACTTAAATTGTGTACTTTTACTCCACTGCATTTATTTTTCCCTTTTCAATTACTTAACATATTTGTATTAATGATGTGACATAATCAGCACTTAAATAAGTCATTTGTCACACCTGGAGTAAATTCAGAAGCTACTTTGCATTGGAGTAGCTGCATCTTTACCAGTTTTGATAACCATCTAATTCATCAATAATCATGATTAACATATTTTTTTCGGAAATAAGCCAATCTGCATAATGAGTACTTTTACTTTTGGTACTTTAAGTATATTTTGATGCTAATACTTTTATACTTTTGTACTTTTACTTCTGTAACATTCTGATTGCAGGACTTTTACTTGTATTTCTACACTTTTACTCTACTTTAACTTAAGTATAAGATCTGAGTACTTCTTCCACCTCTGGAAATAGGACATTTCACTGTAATTTGTGAAATGCAAAGCACTATATCTCATTGCCTGAAGAGGAAAGTACGTACTGCCAGGTTAAACCTTTTTGATCTAGTTGGTGTATAACAAATCTATAGTAGCAATGAATATATCTGGGGTTTTTATATTGTTTATGTAATAAATATAGTCAATTGTGACTTATAAATAATCAATTTATGAAGTTAAAACATAACCATCGCACTCCTCAAATGACAGGAAATGTTGTGATTATTTCAATAACTATTATTCAATTAAATAATTTTTGGCCAATTCACTCCAAATAGTCCTCAAACCTGTGTTCTCCGCTACAAAACTATTAAGGTACATTACTGAAGTCTTTAGTTTGCGTTGAATATTACATCAGAATGCATTTCCACTCGTTTGCATGTCAACACATGTCAGTGTGTCAATTGATAGACACTGAATAATGCAACATGGATACAAAAAAAAGCGTAATCACTCAACAATAATGTTGGATTGTTTTGCCTAATATTGTGTTCTCTTTTTTCTTCTTAAAAGCAATTACTGAATCTGGACTTGAGGGGCCATAACAGACCACTATCATCCCTCAGTCTGACCATGAGATCCCCAGGATGCATTGGACAACCACGCAGCAACTTATCGTTTTCCCTGACGTCTCTCTCCTGCCCTCCCACTGATTCTTCCGACAGTGTATTTCTGACCTCCAGCCAATGGGGACTAGAGTCAGAAATCCCTCTGCCAATGGAGACCGCCAACACCAACCAGTGGGCAAAGCCAGGCTTCCTTGCACAGCGCTCCATCAGCATGGTAGAGACCGGCAACACCACAGCGTCAGGTCTAGGCTGGCCCGGGACTGACATGTTGCATTCCCCAAGTGACATCAGCCCCGACGCACTGAATACCAGCTCCTCCTCTTCCTCCTCATCCGTTTCCTCTTCCTCAGCGCGCTATAAGACTGAAATGTGTCGCTCTTTCAATGAGAGCGGCTTGTGCAAGTACGGTGGGAAGTGCCAGTTTGCTCACGGGCTAGATGAGCTGCGTGATCTTAACAGACATCCAAAATACAAAACTGAGCCATGCCGCACATTTCACACCGTTGGTTTCTGCCCCTATGGGATGCGCTGCCACTTTGTCCATAACAATGAGGAAGAAATGAATCACTCCGTGTCCCGTTCCTCCTCTTTTTCGTCATCCTCCTCTTCAAGCATTCCCCAGCAGCCACCTGGCTCCTTCCGCTCTCACAGGCCTCCTCTTGTCAGACATAGCTTCAGCTTTCCTGGGTTTGCCTCTGCACCCCAGCCAGCCTTTCAGCCTACCCTTAACGCTCAACGTCCTCCTGCCACAGCTTCCTTCTCACGTGCTCCATCGGCCTCGCCAACTTCCTGCGCTGGCATTACTAACCTCCTTTCTCGTGCCTTCCTGGAGATGGACTCTGCCTTTGAGGCCTCCCCTGTCCACCAGTTCCAACCCCCCATGGTCCCGGCCCCTACAGCAGATCCCCAGTCTCCATTCCTGCCTTCCCCAGACTCTGGCTGTTCTCCATGTGAGCTGTCTCCGAATGCCTCCCCTCCCCTGGGGCAGAGTCCAAATGCTTCAGAGGTGTTTCCGGGGCCACTGGGGGCCCGAAGTCTCTCCTATACCTCTCTGTCGGACCAAGACCAGGAGCAGGATAGGAGCAGCTCTGCCAGCTCGATAAGTGGCTCTGAATCCTGCGGGGGCATGCATGATGCTAATGGCAGACGATTAGCAGTATTCAGTCAGCTCTCCGTTCCAGAGGATGCTACTGGATTCTGCCTTTAGGCTGCAGTGTGCTGTGAACACAAACATACATATTGCATACACTCAAATATGCAGACCCAAGATACTCTTGAGACACAATATATGCAGTGCACACATATCCATGCTCAAACACACACACGGCCCTCATTTACATTGCCACTTCATTGAAACCTCAGAAGTTCTTTGCACCTACGTGTCTTCAAAGGAAACAAAGACTTAGTGACTGACTCAGAATGCACGGAGAGATTCGCCGATTAGGTTTAAGTGGCTAAAATGTCACGCTCATATCTATCTGTAAGGCGAGAAGCTAAAGTGATGCTGAAACTGAATTGTGTGTTGCCACCAGACATGGTGCGTAACGAGTCAGAATTCAAATAGAGCTGGGAGCGATCGATGCTTTACCAAAATAGTATATCGATACGGCAAATTGAGACAAATGTTGTAATCACAGTGTGATTGGCCTTTGTGCCGCCTGTTGTTGAGTCCCACCACACAATGTTTTTAATACATTTTGACATCATCAGTGATTCTCTAAAAAATGTAACAAAGCCAAAGACATCTTTTGTAGCTCTGACATTTTGATTATGGTGGTGCAAACACAGTGTAACTTATCTTTTTAGGAATTGTGGATTTTCCATCAGCTGTTCACAACTGTCATGTTTATAAGCTGGTGAAACAGTTTTTTCCTCATAGCTCTACAGTCTGACGTTACATTTAAATCACTGGCCTCCAACCTGAATGTTATGTTTTTTAAACAGCTGAAGTGCCTGTTATGTTATTTACCAGGTCATGTGTTGAAACAATATTTGCTTGTTCGTTAGTTGTGATGTGTGGATGGGCTGTGAATCATTTTATTTAGTCAAGTAAGCTTAGTGTAAGTTCAGGTCTCTCCGTTGTTAAGATGACTAAGTGTTCTTTTGTGTCTTGTTCATTATTGACAAACTGCTACCAGTTAAGTGCCAAATGACCAAATTGAACCTACAGGAGGAAGAGGGGGTACTCTGTTTCAGCTTAACAAAAAGCCTAGTGGACTTATCCTACTTTGTTGAATCCAATGTTTATGATGCATTATTCAACATCGTATTCAGACCTATATGATCTGAACATAGCTAAAGTTGCAGGGGTTCATTTCCTAGAAAGAAGTATGAAACGGTTAAGGGAACATTTCATGGCAGTCCTGTTTAAACCATTGCAGAGTATGTATTTTAGATTATCTTAACAAACATTCCCAGGAGTGTGGATTTTCCCCCTCCTTTGTCCGCAGGTAGCATTGGTGCAAGCTTTTTAAAAAAATATTTATAATTTTTGTGACTCACCCCACTATTTTTCATCCCTCTGTCTATATTAATGATTTGTACTGTTGTGAATGTGTAGCGTACCTGGTCACATGTAGGTGAAATGTGCACCCAGGTTGGTTGCCTTACTGAGCTAGATACAGCAATCTGTATAGCGTTATGGTATGTATGCTTAGTGTTATAGAAATGTTACTCAGTTGTTTTGTGTGTTTATGACGTAGTTGGTTAGAAGAACAAACACTGTGCTGTTACAGGTCTATTTAAGATTGCCTTTTTCGTCAACATGTTTAAGGCTCGTATAAGGTGATCATAATTTAGTAAATTAATTTTTTTCTTTAATTTATTTTTAATGTATTTATAGAGGACTTTGAATTGGTAATGCTTGCATCAAGTTTAATTTATTTGGTTTCTCTTTTTGCTTTTTTGTACTGGTAATAAAGTTTCTTGTTTTTGATCTTTTCACAAGTTTGTTTTGCTTCTTATACTTCCACTAGTAAAATGTATAGAGGCGTATTTGGCGCATCTGCTGAAAGTTGCTAATGCAAAAGTTAAAAGACGCGTGTATGTTTTCTTCGACTTTCTGACTACTTGTATGCATTATACTGGCTCTAGTATCTTTGCCACAATGTTCACACATTTGTGTCATGTAGCTTCAAGGTGCAGGGAGGCAGGAAGGAAGCAGGAAATCAGTGAACTGACATTTATGGTTTTCATTGTAGATCAAAATCTCAAAATGGCCCTGTATTTTTGAAGTTAACTGCATATACACATGTCAAGAGAAGAAGCAAGGAAAGAATATGCTTCACTCCAAAGTTGATACAAGAAACATGTTGTATCAATGCCAATACATTGGTATTTGATCCTTTTTAAGTTAGGCAAATATGAAAAATTGCCACACTGACTAGGACTTGGTTTTCACTTAACTATACTGGGAAGAAATCATTACATAATTCTTCCTTAAGCCGTAGAACAAATTATAGCATGCTCCTTTTAGTATGACTTTAGATTAGCTTCCATTTCATTGAGAATGGTTAGCAGGTAATCAGACTAGAAACCTTTATTTGCATCTTCCAAGTTTTACTGTTGTGACTACACCAAATAGTAAAACCTAGAGTAAAACACAATAGGTCGTCCATGTTTACAGGGGAAAGCGTGAAACAGGAAATGAATAACACAGTTGTGCTATTCTACAACCTCGGCTTTTAAAATGTGCCAACAAACCAGTGTTGCTCTTTGATCATAAGAGAGTATACTTCTTGGCTTTTTTTTATTTTATCTACTCAATTAAAGCGAGTTAAATGCATACATTATAAAGAGAATTCAAACACTGTTTTGAAATTAGCTTAACTGACTGAAGTCCCAAAGGTTAGGAAGTTACTGCTTTGTCTCATATTTTAATAAACAACCATAGCAACAATGTCTAATTAAAGCAAGTTTAGTTATCGTCTCTTATTTTGTAGTCATAAGCCATTTGTGCCTTAACCAGTTTGCTGTAGAATAGCAAGACACTAGTGTGTGTGCGTGTGTAGTCATGCCAGAATCGAGATTTCATGTGGAGATAAGAAGTCTTTTGTTTGGGGTTTAATCTGAACAATCCTCTGCTCCCACCCATGTCCCTTGCTGATTCCGTCCTTCCTCCCGCACTTCTTTCCTCTCCTTCAATTACTTCCCCTCACCTCTCCACTTTCTACAGCTATTACTGTTTTGATCCTCTGTTTCCATGGTGAGCAAGTTGTAGACGCAGGATTTTTAGCAGGTCAAACCACAAAACTGAATTGGTCTCCAGATATCAGGGAAATGTAAAAACAGCCTGGTATTCAAAAACAAATTGTACTCTTCGTTTCTGTAAACAACTCATAGTGAAAATTCAACATCACAAAAGTAACATTGATCTTGGGATTTTTCTCCTTTCCCCATTTACATTATCCGACAAAAAACCAAAACAGGGCAACAAATGCATACGTATGGTTGAGCCTCCAGGAATCTCTCTTTCATGCACACACACAGAAGAGCTATTATCTTGTCACTGTTAACATGAGCTGGGATGGCTGTCTGGAAGTGATTAGTGGCTGTGAAGGAGTTAAAGGCATGTGTGTGCCTGTATAGGGTGTGTGTGTGTGGGGCTGTGTGTGTGTGTGGCTGTATTGTGTCTCATAGACATTCTCCCACACTCTTGCCCTGTGGGACATAGGAAAAGCCGGCAGATGGCTGTATTCAGGTCCACCACGGGTCAACATATGGCCCCGAGAAACAAAGTTTGTGTTTGTGTGCGAGACAGAGAATCGTACTCTTACTATGCATGAGTGGAGGAAGTTGAATGAGAAGGAAGGGGGTAAAAAAAGGTAAAAGTGGAGCCAGAAAAATAAGCTGGGAAAAAAAAGTGGTTAGATAAAGTAGTAATGGAACTATCTGAGAGGATGAAAGTGGGCGGCATCCCCTGAGATCATACAGGTTGTTAAAATATAGCACACGTGAGTATATTTGTGAGGGTGCTTTAAGGACAATGGCCTTTATGGTGTATTCTTTAAGTCTTGTATACTAGGCCCTACAACTAATTCTGGAATCAAAAATACGCCTACAAGCAAGAAATTAAAAATAAAGATATGAAAAACTGGTTAGCATTTGTAAAATGTCAAAGCTACGTAACATAACCTTACTTTCAGTGGTTTTAGGCTGCACATTAAGCTAGGTGGCAACTTTTTACTAATCGGCTAACAAGCTAATGTTATACTCAGTTTAATAAATAACTATGCTACTGCCAGCTGTTAGCTATTGCACTACTAAAAAAATAAACACATTGAAATATGAAATAACTAAATCAAAAGCCTAATTCATTCTGAGTTTATTCTGTTAGCATCCAGGTAGCATCAACATATTGATCTTACCACTGTATTTGAAAATGTGGTTGTTGTAGCCTTCAGCTAGACATATGTTAACTTACAACATTGTATTTGACTACTTTTAAGCAAATTGTCAGGTTGCACTAATGACCAAAAATAGCATTTTGTGATTCCAGTTTGTTGTTGCCTATGAATAGAAGTGAGCATTCAGGAAACCTAACCCAGATCAATAGTCTCTGTCAACTCCTCACACTACAAAAGACTTCAGTCCGCCTATGTGGACAGTGTTACTGAATTTTAAAAAGTCATCAATTTCAGAGAATGAATGCAGGTCTTACTTGTACCCCGCCACCCCCCCAACTCCTCCTGTCTTTCTTCTAGCCCCTGACAATCACCCGCCTCCTCCTTTACTCTCCTCCCTCTCTCTATTCACCGTTCCTCTTTGTGAGTGTATTGGTGATATTGTGATGCAGGGGAGAGCAGTAGAAAGGGAGGCAGAGCCCTGTAGAAAGCATTGAACAGCTGTTGCTGAACTCTCCCCATCATCCTTCAATTTAACCTGTTGACAGTCTGCACATTTCTTCACTTCATAGCATTTGTGAGACATTTTGGTACAAAAAGAAGAAACTTGTTATGCCTTCTTCATCTTTCATTTCTCCTACACTGCTTCCTCTCCGCCCCCCACTCCCCCAACCTTTAATACACTTCTCTTTTCTACATTTCAATACTCTCCAGCCTCCTGTAGAGGCTCCTTATGCTCTCTATCTCATTTTCCTCTTGTCCCCTCTCTCAATCTCACCCTCCTCCTCCACCAACTTTCTATAATTCCGCCCCCTCCCAGGCTTTCTCTCTAATCCCCCTTTCAGGTTTTTTTTCCTTCTCTACAGAGTGGATTTGGGCAAAGTGTTTAATCGATTGCAACAAATGGGTGAAAGAGTTGGCTATAGTCAGGTGCAGCACATTTAAGCAGACGCCTAACAAAATCTCCCTGACTGATTTGCATATTGCATTGCAGGAAAAAGACAGTATGGGAAATGTTGTTAGAGGGTAGAGTGGAAGCCCTGGCACCGATAAAGCGGCGGCAACGTGAGTTTTTATCCCCATACTTCTAGGTGTTATGGTAGTAAACTGCAAAGTCTAAGCAAGGTATTACAGTGAGTTAAACCTTGGTGATGGTTTCCAAACCTATGGTTCTAACACATCTGACTTTTATCCAATCAAAATCAAACCATTGTGTATTTCAAATGCATTCAAAGTCATCCGAGATCCAACATAATCTGATGAATTGTCTGTATTTTCACATCCCAGCCCTAAAGACTGAACCTAGCTGTGCTGGGTTTCTGTTCATTTGTATGGTAGCAGGCATATTGGATTGGAAGACCTATTTGCCATCAATTTTGATTCTTTCTTTTTAAAGTGCTTCTCAAAAGAGCACTGCACACCGATGAAAGTATTGCACTCACCCCATGTTTGCAACCATTGAGCAAAAAGAACTAAACTGATGACATTTTGATCTTTATGTGCCATAATGAGAAGGGGGAATGCATTTCTTACCATATTTTAGTTGTACCAAATATAGGCTGAAAAGTTCCCTCGACTATAACGTCACCCAAAGCTGAAGCCCCACTTCAAAACCCATTCTGGTGCTGCTGAGTGTCTACTTATAAACAGGGAACTTTACTGAAGTCTTAAGCTTATTCAAGAACTCTTATATTGAGGGCCGCTGTCATACTGAAGTAAGAACAGTTTGAGTGTTAACCCAAAGTTTTAGACAAAGGATGTAATAATATATTAAATAGCATGTAGTGTTTCACTTCCATTAAATGTGGGTGCTTGCAAGAAATATATTTGACACCTCCCACTCATATATTAGGTTATCCCAACTTCAAACCATCAGTTTGTCAAGCAGGCTTTTTGTGAAGATAGAAAAATTAGTTTTCTCCAAGCCCAAGTAAAAATAACCCTGATGACATCACCAGGGTTTGTTTCTAACACTATAAAATGCCCCCTTGGGAGCCATAGAAGCCATTTTACAACTGTTTTCACAGGCCGATTGGAAATTGGTGGAGTGCCTCTTCAAGATGCAGTCCAGGTCATTTCACTTTCTCTCCTCCCACTTTTTTTATGGCAAGGCAAGTTTATTTATATAGCACATTTCAACACAAGGCAATTCAAAGTGCTTTACAAAAATGAAAGACATTAAGAGCATTAAGAAACATATTATAAAATGATATCTAAAAACACTCATTTAAAAGCATTGATATCAAATGACATTTAAAAACACTAACTTAAAAGCAAAGATAAAAAACAAAGATATTACAAGTTACAGTTTAAGATATGAATATATCAATTAAAAGCAGCGGCAAAAAGAAAAGTCTTCAGCCTGGGTTTAAAAGTAGTCAGAGTTGCAGCGGACCTGCAGGTTTCTGGGAGTTTGTTCCAGATATTTGGAGCATAATAACTGAACGCTGCTTTACCATGTTTAATTCTGACTCTGAGGACAGAAAGCAGACCAGTCCCTGAAGACCTGAGAGATCTGGATGGTTCGTAATTTAGCAGTAGGTCAGAAATATATTTTGGGCCTAAACCATTCAATGCTTTATAAACCAGCAGCAGCAGTATTTTTAAATCAACTATTTGACACACAGGAAGCCAGTTTAAAGACTTCAGAACTGGAGTGATGGCAACCATTTATGCTTCAGAGTGGGGTTTGTGAACAACCAAAGTTGGGTGGCTATGGTTTCAAGTTTTAGTTAGATGAGGCAACATTGTTTGTTGCAGCAGGGAAAAACGTCCTACTAATTATAAAATAACATTTACAAATATACATCATTACCATTTCTTTGTCAAACTTTGGCTAAGCACTCGACTACATGTGCCTGTTCATTATCTGCCGTGTTTAAACCATAGAGGATGTCTCTATTTAGTGCAACATTGACTTTACTAAATTGTCAGCATACTGTATGAGCATGATATGTTTTCCAGTGAGCATATTCCCTACTGAATGCTCTGTTACCTACAAACACTACTCTAATGTTGATAATATTTATTAACTAAAAAACTCAATGGAACACTGACGCTGGAGTTTCTCCTTGTATATCGAAATGCAACGTTGATCTTGTGTCTCATGTAGACAGTAATGACTGCAGTTTTTCAGAGCCGAGCCTGAGCGAGAGGCATTATTGGAAGCTCATTAAATGGATACAATGTAAACCTTTGTTGTGTAAAAACTATTACAACTCTGGGAACAACATCAGGGATATGTTTTAGAGCAGAGACATAAATAAAGAGTTAGCATCATAATCCATCGACTAGATTAAAGTCAGTCCATCAATCAGAGTCAAAATGTAGGTATAATTCAAACCCAGTGGGTTAATACCCAAAGTGTAAAATATTTTGAATCAACCTGATGATGGATGTGGCAATACCTTTGAAAACTTAGGCACAACCACTGACTTAAAAACTCAAATAGACCTCGAGTTTCTTGAAAACTAAGTACAGTTAAGCTGCAGGGACTAAACTTTATAGAGAATATATCAGAACTGCAGTACATTCACATACAGTAGAACCTCTTAATACAAAGCTCATGATATGGATCAGCAACATGAAAGCAATATGGACAGAGTGGAACTACTGTATTAGTGCGCACAGTGAAATGTGTTGTTATGCAGAGGAGTAATAAAAAGAGCAAAGGTAAAGCATCCGTTTACATAAGATATCTTAATAGCCCTCTTAACTGTGTTTGTTGCTATTTACAGTGCTATGGAAAGTTAGAAGTCCTAAATTCAAGGCCAATTGTGTTTCAGGTACATGTTTTAATAGATTGTTTGCATAAAAATAGTAGTTAATAGTATTTAATAATTATAGAATATGCAAAGGATAAGTACGCATCTTGCATTGCATTATTTGAATAATAATAAAAAAGGAATTGCTTTGATTGTGATAAACTAATTTGAATAACTAAAGAGATGTTTTTGTTGTTTTGTTTTGTAGAGCAAAGTTACAACTGCTTGTTCTTTTTTCTCCCAGACAATAAAAGTTCATCAGAAAGATTACTACAGAATAGAGAGAAAAGAAAACAAGACACTGAGCAGAACCATGATGGTAAAGCAACACACGAAACAACGACAGCTTCATGAGACCCTCTAGTGGGAGGCAACAGCATCTACAAGAGGTTCATTTCATTACTTTCTTTTCTTTTTCAACAGATGGTGGTTTTGGGTTGTTCTTGTTCGTGCCAGAAATGATATATAAATAATCATTCAAACAAACAGAACAATCCCATACTTATGGAATGTAAGTTTTTAAGCTCTGTAGGGATTTATATTAGTAGACATACGATAAAAAGTGTCAATAAGAAATATAACCCAGAAATCCATGCACAATTATGTCAAGCCATAAAACACCATTTAATCACATTTGCAGCAAGGCAAATCTCATTACTATGTACTACACAAATTCATCTGTACAGAAGGACAACACATTTACATTTTGGTACAAGAAATAATAGTTTGTAAACTCCAAAATATAATATCACTACAAAGAAAGAGACTGTTGCTGAGAAACCGATATCACATCCAGTAAATCAACGTAATTCGAAAAAAGTTAAATTTCTGCAGCAATGGCTAATTCTAGACTTGCATTTTGCCTTTAAATGAACTGAAATTTAAAAAAAACAAAAGCATTCATGAATGACCCAGCCCCGAAAGGCAGTCTGCTACAAGGCAGAGCACAGCACCAGGAACTAGTTACAGATAATGTGCATTCAATTATGAATTTGATGTGAGCTGCTATCATTTTCAAAAAGCTACTTTTTCGATGGATGGTCAAATAGATGGTAGTTGTTCTATCTTAAAAAAACAACACATTTTCAATGATGCCTTTTATTTGTTTGTATGTCCTCTCAAATTGAGCTCTCAAAATTGTAACAAATTACAAAGAATATTAAATGACCTATTCATTCACTATACATTCACATTATTGCATTAACACCAGTGACTGTAGATACTTTATTAAAAAGCTCTGCCAGGTCAGGTAGGGCCAGGTTCCAATTATTTGTGAAAACTACATTTGAGAACAAAATACATTATTTCAGTTAACCATACTCAAATAATAAAAACTCACAAGAAATAAAACAAATTGTGTACTGTGTCAGAGTATGACAAGGGAAGGTAAGCCCTGAATCCTTTATGCCTTTTCATCGGCACCTTGTTTTTTAGCGGAACCTGCCTAGTCCTCTTTGACTAAGTTGTGGGAATCAGGGTGATGTTTGATTCCATCTGTGGTTGGACAGGAACTACTCTTACGGATTAACTGAAGCCTTCAGGGCCCTGTTTATCTGCTCCAGGGTAGTACAGAGGATCAGGTCACAACTTCTGGACCACCACTTGGAACTTACCTGGAAAGAAAGAAATGTCAGAGGGATGAACCATTTGAAGGATCTTAAGAAAGTAAGTGTATTTTATTTAAGCGAAGCTGATGAATCTCAACAACATGTTCTGACCTGACCGGCCAAAAACTGTTCTTACAACTTGCATGAGTAACATATTTGGCTAGGATTGTTATAGAGGCATGAATTGGTGTTTGGAAAGTACTTACAAGATGGCATAACAGAGACCTCGGCTGTCACCACGCTGTCCATACCAAGGTTAGAAAGAGCTCCTCTCACCACACCACAGGAAAAAGCGAGGTACTGAAAGAAAACACAACAAATATAAATTAGCACTATTTATCAATGAACTCTTATTTTGTATGTAGTATGCAATACTAACAGACAGACAGACAGACAGACAGACAGACAGACAGACAGACAGACTAACCTTAGGAGCCTGATCCAGGTACTGTTTTCCACTTGAGAGCTGAGTTAGAAAAGAGAACTTGTTGTCCTGCAGGACATAGGTACCCTGTGGCAGAAAACAAGCATGTGTATAGTAACAACCATACTAGAAACCAATATCATGTTTGAATCAACACTTTGTTTCTTAAATTACCAGCAAGATGTCTTTAATTGCAGATGAAGATCTGACAAAACGATCTGATCGTAGTACATTTTGTATTGAAGATGATGGTATTCTAGCTCTTCTTTTAAATAATTAGGTATGGTATGTATCACAAATCAGGTCCCAGTTTCCTGTATACAATAAAGACTGTTGTTAACTTTTATTTTACCTGATGGTTTGTTCTGAGGTTGTCAACCTGCCTCCTGAACACCTTCGTCCAGAAGTCTTTACAGACAAACTTCATTACATCCAACTCATCCTTGAAGCTGGGAGAGTCCCTGGTCAACCTACACAGAGCAAACATCAACACAGGCATGTTATGTAGGTATGGATTCATGCACCACAGCATTTAGTGTTTGGCATACAGAATATGCATTTATATGCTTAGCTACCTCTCAATGATTCCTTGTCCCACCCTGAAGCCCATGCTTTCAAGGACAGAAACACAGACAGCTCTATCCTAAAGGAAAGGAAATGCAATCTATTTATTTGCACAGTACACATAGGTATAGGGTTTGCTAGTATCTACAATGCACTTATTCACTAGCATATAAAAAAATAGAAAGTGTGTAGCAAGGTTTATACAGAAAATAATGCATATCCATACTAAGGTTATCCCTTATATTAAGTCTCAGTTGATTGTTTGACGCCTTTACTGAACACACCTTGTTATCCATCTCCCCTTTACTGGATTGCTGCTCCGTGTACATATGTGAGACGATCTCCATATGGAGAAAGTCAAACAAACACTCGTCTGCCATTCCTGCCAAAAACAAAAATCAAACCATAAAGCCCAATATAACACATAAGCGAAACAGTTTCAGGTAACCTAGTTAGCTGTGCCTCAAAAGACAAAATCAACAGTAAGGGGACATTGAAAACCCTTAAAGACATTAGCGTTAGCTTGATCGATAGCGCCAGAGAGATGGCTCGTGTTTTTTGCAGGCAACATTGTCCAAACCTGGTTTTGGCTGTATTAGTATATAAGGATAAAACTGTGGATTTGTATATAACATGTGTTGCAGTTACAATACATTAAACAGAGTAAAACATTACATGTTCTGTACCTGTCAATTGAGTGTAGGCTACACGAAGTAAACATAAACTTGTTTCCTGGGTTGCACTCGATATTCTATTCAGGGTACCCCTCTGGACCAGGAAGGCGGAGTTAGCGTGAATTTAACACTGCAGTTAAGTTGAAAAGCACCTGGTGGCAACGCCTTACATGCTGTTACAACAATCACACATCCAGTTACATAATACTTTGCTTTTATGTGGGGAACACTAAACGTAGAGCGTGTTTGAGAATTACGTGAAATTATCGGCATACGCCAGTTCAATGACAAACGGACCCATGATTAGATGAGCTCTCGGTATGAGACGTCAGATATCACATGACATCCAAGCTCAGATCGGATTGGGTCTTGGAAAACGAGCCATTTCCTTATTGCTCATGTGATTTGTGTTTATGATATTACAGAGAAGGTTTGACAATTTGTTGATTATTGGACCTTATACTTTAACATTAGCTTTTAGCGAACATTGTTCTAAAGATTCTAGGTAAGTGCATTTGTAACGATCAAAGGGAGGCTGATATGTCTGGATCTACATGACCTAATCTTGACTCAATGTTATCGTTATGATTATTATCAATACAATGTTTAGCTACAATGACAATATACTTTGTGTATCAACTATTTTTTAATTGTAGCTAACCTGGTTTGATTTTGTGTGTGTGTGTGTGTGTGTGTGTGTGTGTGTGTGTGTGTGTGTGTGTACAGTCATGTCCAGCAGTTACCAGATAGTGGTACAGGGCGAGGCCTCTGAGACAGACTCTGATGATGAAGTGTACATCACCTCCATGACTCCCCAAACTGCCACCGTGGGAGCCAAGGTTGTCTGCATGCTGTCTTTGTTTGAGTGGGATAGAGAGATGAAAGCGTGTCAACAATCATCAACCAATACCTCCACACCATCTGATATAAAACAACTATCTGCTATCTGTGATATTCTGAATGCTGTCAGGTTCCTGGGGAGGCTTCTGAAACAGACAGTGAGGATGAGGAGGAGCAGCCGGGCAGAGCCTACTCTCTGAGCCAGGAGAGCGCTCAGATTCTCAGGAGAGACCTTCCTCCTCTTATCGTAGTGAGAGACCATCCTGATATCCAGTCCATAGTGGAAGACAGGCCCAGTCCCACACACAGGCCACAAGGTGAGGAATACTATAAAGAAATGGTAAATGAATGGTTATACTTAGGGTAATACATATGTTATGATAATATATAACCTGCAGAGTTTGCTTAACTCAGAGGTCCATTTACCTGCTTCTCATGATGCTTCATGAGTGAGTTAATAATCTGGCTGCATAAATGCATTCATGTATGAATAAAACAGATGCATTTCGTCAGGTTGAGAGTGGGTTTAGAGTATCTTGTTACAAACGTCACAAATGAGCCTCTAGGTGAACTGAAATCATCATCTTAAAATAAAGCAAGTAATCAAAAGTCAAAATGTTGATTCTGACAATACTTTTTTCCCCAAAGAGGTGAAATTTGATTTTATAATAGTTGCTCCATTTTGGATTAATATTACATAAAAATATTCATAAAAACATAGAAAAGTTGAAGTTAAAATATACACATTTTACTACAATATAAAACAAATACAAATATAAATAAATATGTATATTACAATATGCATATGGTTGTGTATAATTATTAATAACCATTAATGCTGAAAAACAATTATGTTGGAAATGTGCATTATATTAAAGTAATAATGCCGAAAGTAGTTTTATTATTTAATTGTATTTAAAAGTAACTGCAGTTCCATGGATGGCTTCAACCAAATGGATAAGTGAACAATGAAAAGGAGGTTTGGTTCTCAGTTTTTTCAGTATGTATTTATTTTTCCAGGCGACACCCTTTTACAACAGAAGCTGCAGGAGTCTAACAGCCGGCTGTATTCTGATGTGGGACAGACACTAAGGCATGTTTATGGCAGTGCCAGTAGAGAGGTTTGTGTTTTTCTCAGCACACTTATTATCAGATATATTAATTTGGAATACAAAGGTCTTACAAATTGCCTTTGTAACACATAATTACAATATAAGCGTTTGCAATATCCTATTGTAAGTGTCCTGTAACAGTTTATTGTCGATGGTTGTAATGCCTTCATTCAATTTTTTTCCTGACTGTTTTTGTTGAAGGTCCAAAGTGCAACATCTCAGCTGAATACTTCGCAGGGCGCCATCATCAATGCCTCCCACAGCATCAGATTAATCCTGGATGACCTAAAGGCTGTGTCCGAGAAGATTGACATCATTACCAGCTGTCAAATACTGCCAGATATTCACATCAACAATAACATCAATAATACTACTTCTGTACCTTAAAGAAACAAATCAAAATATATATTTAAAATATTAATGTCATAATGGATATATTTGTATTGAAAAGCAGAGAGTAGGTTTCAATCTAGAAAAAAAAAGCTTGCTTTACAGTGTTTACAGATAATACATAGGCATGTAAATAACCGTGTCTATTGAACAGCTGCTCACTTTCCTGATCTGTCTTTCTGTATTGAGCTCTTGGAACATTTTTGTAAAGATATGACGTTCTGTAGTTCTGTTTCCTTGATCTATTTTACAATATTTATTTAACACAACATTGTACTCTGATTTTCACAAGACAAATCTTTTTTCATTCTTTGCTGTCTTCTAATCCTCAATGCTTCGTGGTTTTGAATAACAAAGTGGTGGTGATTAAAAACAATTCAGATTTGTTTCCACTTGAAATGTGTTGGTTATTAATATACAGTTCTCACAAACAAAGCATAACAAGTAATTGGCAAATACATGCAGTTATTGCATACATATTACAGGAAGAGTAACATCTGTGTCATGCTCAATGTGTTTTAAAGGTCCCCTATTATACTGTTTTTTATCAATATATTATAGGTCTCAGATATATACAAAACACGTCTCTGAAGTGTTCGTTATGACATCATAAAGTGGCCAGAATCTGATCAGCTCATTTTCAGACAGGTTTTTATATAAATGGATCAGGACAAAAAGTGAGCGAATGTTTTTTCCTGAAACTTTCAGAATATCTTTACACAGAGGGGACACATGTTTATGAAGAAAAGACATGAAAAAGTTGATTTTGCATAATAGGTCCACTTTAACTTATATCCACTGTACATAATGTGTTCCCAGTGTTGGTATAACAACTGCTACCTTATGGAAAAGGACTTTAGCTTTGAGATAACCTCAGTTAAAGACTAACAATAGGACAAATACTACTGTGCCTGTCACTTCAAAGCACTCTGTAATTTCCTTCTGATTGTCCATCCATACATCCATCTCTAAGGTGCTGTCCCATTTCAACATTAGTCCAACAAACAGTAAACAGTTTAACCATGAATCCATCAAGTGTGTGTGGCCTGTCAGACGGGTGTGTAGATATAAACCAACACTACTAGCAGCAGGTTGAGAACTGAGCCCACAATACCCGTGAGGCCAAGCATGTGTTCTGGATCCACCTTCCATCTGTCTAAATTAGGAAGCATGGTCACAGGCTGGGCCCCCTGAAAGAGAGGAGAGAGCTGTGTAGTGTGGGATTATCATTCACTCTTAGTGTCTGAACATGTTGCCGCCACCAGATGGCAGCAGCGATACATAAATTACACCACTCACAAAAAACAACACAAAACTGTTGTGTTCTCGGGAGTGACAGTGTAACATTATCAGCATCAAAATGTAATTCATCAGTTAAAGGTATCACTGTGCAAAATGGCCCAATTCGGAATACTGTATATTACTGGATTACAGAAATTGATGCATTCACGTGTACATACCATTTTGTTGCTGTACTCGTAAAAAAGGATAAATGATTTGTTAATTGTGTTCAATACAACATATGAATCTCCAATTTAATTACAAATATCTCAAATTGTACTTGTGTTTGAAGAAATGCTCAAAATTACTTTCCACCACTGGTCTGGAGTAAAATTAAGTAATGTTATATTTAATTTTTTAACTTTTTCTGTGTCAGGTGATATAATGTTGGCTCTTAGCTTCCTCTGTGTGTGTGTGTGTGTGTGTGTGTGTGTGTGTGTGTGTGTGTGTGTGTGTGTGTGTGTGTGTGTGTGTGTGTGTGTGTGTGTGTGTGTGTGTGTGTGTGTGTGTGTGTAACCCTTAGTCTAGGTGTCCTGACTCCAGGGGTTCCAGGATTAAACTAAAACACAGCATTTAAAAAAATTATCCTGAATGGAAAAAACCCATTAGATCCAAATGACGATGATGACGATGTCATCTTATCCTTTCTATCAATGCTAAACAAATGCTTGAATAAAGAAAAGTTGCACAACATATTATGTTGCTCTCTCTCCTTACAGAAAAACAACAGTGCTTTTGAATTGCCAATGGCTATTGATTGAGAATATATGTGAATGTATAAATATTGATGACGTTTTAATGCAAAGTTGTCATCTAATTGATTTTATTTGTGTAAAGCCAAATATTAAATCAATGTCCTCTTTGTTTATAAGCAATTACATATTTATAAGTGTTAATGCATGTAGGATTGAATCTCATTCACCATTCAATATTTAGATATTGTGTCAATCGTGACAAGGACATTAATGCTTTGTGTCCGATATTTATCATTTAGTAAACCCAACCGACAACAATTATTTGACTTACCATTACCTATTTCCTGATTCTCGTGTCCTTCATAAGGTTAGCAATACAATTTGAGTAAATGCTGGCTAACCACGCTGGTTTCCTGATATCTCCAAGTGGGAATGTGTTTTAGTTTAAAAGTGAAATGTAAATAATCTAAATATTTTTCCGGACACACTATCGCTTATGCATTAAATGGAGAGCTAGGTACTTCTTAAGGAGGTTGGAAACAATAAACATGAGCAGAAAACTATGTGACTCACTGGGTATTTTCCTTCAAGGCTGGATGAACTTCTAAGTGACTTGTTACACTCAACAGGCAAGTAGGACATTATATTACTGTTTACATAAAACATCTTTCCTTGTTCGTCTGTCAGTGGCTAGAGGCTTAGAGCTAAGGATGGGGTTCATGCTTGAGCTGGCAAAACTAACTAAAGACTGAAATAGAAACATGGAAAACAATGGACCGGGCGCTGAGGAGACATCATAAATGTTTGCGGTACAGAGAGTGCAAAGGGTAAGGGAGAACAGAAAGAAAGGAAAGTCACACTTGTATGAGTCTTTTATAAAAT